GGGTTTTGCACAGCAATTTTCACAGAAAATTCTAGGGACCTGTAAATTATAGCTAAATGATTATAGGTAAATGTTTCTTCTCATTTTAAGGAAAATCTAGTTTGTACCAATACTTTCAGGTGATTTTAATAAAAATCGAGTGTTGACTTTATCAAAAGTTTTTATCCATCTATTGCTATAATCATTTGATTTTTCAACTTTTATTATTAATATTGATTGTACCAAATTCTTTTTTATGATACAAATATGGTGCTGATATCTAAACAAGAAAAAACTAAATCAGAGAATTATTTTTTCCTAATGAATACTGAGGCAAAATTTTTAAATAAAATGTTAGGAAAGAGATTACAGCAATTTCTCATGAGGATAATAAAAAATGACTAGGTAGGATTTATATCAGGAATTCAGGGCTAGTTTAATAATAGGAAAGCTATCAGTATAATTGACTATATCATTAACAAAATAAACAAAAATCATACGATTATCTCAATAGATGAGATAAAGCTTTTGGCAAAATACAACACCCATTCCTATAAAAATACTATACAGCATAGGAACAAATGGAGTTTTCCTTAAAATGATAAGCATCATCTATCAAAAACCATCCTCAAGCATTATATGTGATGGGGATACCCTAGAAGCATTTCCAGTAAGATCAAAAGTAAAACAAGGATGTCCATTATCTTCACTGTTATTCAATATTGTACTAGAAATGTTAGCTGTAGCAATAAGAGAATAAAAAGAAATTGAAATAATTAGAACAGGCAATGAAGAAATAAAGCTATCACTCTTTTCTTATGATACAGTGGTATACTTAGAAAATCCTAAAGAATCAAGTAAAAAACTACTTGAAGTAATTAACATCATTAGCAAAGTTACAGGATATAAAATAAAACCACATAAGTCATTGGCATTTCTATATATTAATAACAAAGCCCAGCAGCAAGAGATAGGAAGAGAAATTCAATATAAAGTAATTGTAGACAATATAAAATATTTAGGAGTTAAGCTGCCAAGACAAACCCAGGAACTATATGAACACAATTACAAAACTTTTTTCACACAAATAAAGTCAGATCTAAATACTTAGAAAAATATCAGTTACTCATGAGTAGGCAGAGCTAATATAATAAAAATAAAAATTCTACCTGAATTAATTTATTTATTAAGTGCCATACCAATAAAACTAGGAAAAATACTTTATAGAGGAAGAAAAATTAATAGCAAAATTCATATGGAAGAACAAAAGGTCTGGAATATCAAGGGAACTAATGAAAGGAAATGCAAGAGAAGGTGTTCTAGCTGTACCAGATCTAAAACTGTATCATAAAGCAGCAATCATCAAAACTACTTGGTATTGGCTAAGAAAAAGAGTAGTGGATCAATGGAATAGGTTAGGTGCACAAGACACAGTAGTCAATGACTATAGTAATCTACTCTGTGATAAACCCAAACACCCCAGCTTCTGGGTTAAGAACTCATTTTTTTGACAGAAACTGCTGGAAAAATTGGAAAATATTATGGCAGAAACTAGGCATAAATGAACATCTAACAACGTGTACCAAGGTCAAGTCAAAGTGGGTACATGATTTAGACATAAAGCCTGATACTGTATGCAGAATAGGAGAGAATTGAATAGTTTACCTGTCAGATTTATGAAGAAAGGAAGAATCTATAACTGTAAAAGAGATAAAGAAGATTATGAAACACAAAGTGGATAATTTTAATAATATTAAATTAAAAAGGTTTTGCACAAACAAAGCCAATACAACCAAGATTAGAATGGAAGCAGAAAGCTGGGAAACAAGTTTTACAGAAAGAGTCTCTGATAAAAACCTTATTTCTCAAAGAGATTGAGAATTGAGTTAAATTTGTAAGAATAGAAGTCATTCTCCATTTGATAAATGGTCAAAGGATATGAACAGGCAGTTTTCAGATGAAGAAATTAAAGCTATCTATAGTCATATGAAAAAACACTCTAAATCTCTCTTCATTAGGCAAATGGAAATCAAAACAACTCTGAGGTATCACATCATACCTATCAGATTGGCTAACATGACAAAACAGGAAAAAGATAAATGTTGGGGAAGATGTGGGAAAATTGGAACACTAATGCATTGTTGGTGGAGTCATGAACTGACCCAACCATTCTGGAGAGCAATTTGGAACTATGCCCAAAGGTTTATAATACTTTGCATACCTTTTGACCCAGCAATACCACTGCTCTGTATACCAAAGAGATTATAAAAATGGGAAAATGAGCCAAATGGACAAAAATATATTTATAGCAGCTCTTTCTGTGGTGGCGAAGAATTGAAAATTGAGAGGATGCCCATCAGTTGGGGAATGGCTGAACAAGTTGTCATATATGAATGTAAGGGAATATTATTGTTCTATAAGAATTGATGAATAGGTAGATTTCAGAAAAACCTGTAAAGCCTTACATAAACTGATGCTGAGTGAAATAAGCAGAAACAGGAGAACATTGTACATAGTAATAGCAACATTGTGCTATGACCAACTTTGATAGATTTAGCTCTTTTCCACAATGCAATGGTTTAAGTCAATTCCATAAGACTCTTGATGCAAAATGCTATCCACATCCAGAGAAAGAACTATGGAGTCTGAATGCTGATCAAAGCATACTATTTTCTTCTTTTTTTCCTTCTCAGAATTTATCCCCTTTTTTCTGATTCTTTTTTCACAACATGACTAATGTGGAAAGAAGTTTAATATGATTGTACATGTATAGCACATATCGGATTGCATGCCGTTATTTGGGGGGGGGGAAGGAGATGGAAGGGGGAAAATTTGAAACTCAAAATCTTGTAAAAGTGAATATTGAAAACCAAAAATAAAAAAATATTTTAAAAATGCTTAGCTATAAAAAAAGAAAGAGCCATTTATCTGCTGAATAGAGGGTGCATTGGAATGGGAAGAGACACGGCTGTAGATTATTTGGATAGTTCAGGTATTGGGTGATGAAGGCTTGCACCTGAATGTTCTTGGGTCTTTGATTGTTAGAACACTTACTATCTAAATTGATTTAGTTATTGTTATTCTTTTCTTTCAGAGTAGCTAGGTGGCACAGAGAAATGAGTACCAAACATGGAATCAGGAAGATTTGAATTCAAATTTGGCCTTAGGCACTTACTAGCTCTGTGAACCTGGCTAAGTCACTTAACCCTGTTTGCTTCAGTTTCCTCATCTGTAAAATGATCTGGAGAAGGAAATGACAAATACCGTCAGTATCTTTGTCAAAGAGATAGTTGAGTGTATAGAAGTCTTAAGTGTGTTTTAATAAGTTACAGCCAGATGTTTTATGCATTTTGTAGTTATTTTGAATGCAATTTCTAGCATTCCATGTTCTTATTAATATTGTATAGAAATACCAACATTTTTGTTGACTTATTTTGCATCCTGATATTTCACTGAAATATTTACAGGAAGTTGGGTGAACCAGTGGATAGAGTGCTGGGGATCCCATCAGGAAAACCTGAAATAAAATTTGTTCTCAGATATGTGCTCATTGTTTGACCTGTTCAAAGCACTTTGCCTTTGTTTATCTAACTTTCCTCATATGCCCAATGGGTATTATAATCATACCTACCACGTGGGGTGTGGTAAGTTTCAAATGAGCTCATATTTGTGAGGTGCTTAGCATAAAATCTGAGACATAGTGGGTACTAGACAAATACTAGCTATTATTCATTCATTCATTTATTATTCCCTTACCAAGTTGATTTACTAGATATCTAATATTTTCATATGTAAATACTATGTCATCCAGACAAGGATAATTTGGAATCCTCTGCCAATGTTTATATATTCTCATAATCTTTCTTCTTTTGTTGAAGGAAGCTAGCTCTCCTAGATCTTTATCACAAAATAGAGGAAAGGACATTTTCATTTTTCACCTGTTTCAGAGGAAAAGCTTCAAGTATTTTGCTACTACTGGTGATATCAGCTTTTATTTGTAGACATATACTTCTTTCATATTAAAGGAGGGTCACTCAACATTTATAATTTCAAATATTCATAAGTGCTCAATTTGCTCAAAGGGTTGTTCTGCGTCTATTCCTTAACTAATAGGTTTTTATTGTCTTTTTAAATATTAAAATACTTAATCATGTTTGTTTCTTTCATAATCTTGAAGCATTCTTGTATCCCTGATTTAATCTAATTTGGTCATGCAGAAAAAAATGTAAATGTATTTTAATAGTCTCTGGCAAGTTTTATTGAAAATTTTTTACACTGATACTTAGGAATTCTTTATACTTTTCTATCTCCATGTTTCCTACATGTTTAGGTATCAATCTCTTCTCCATTTCTGTTCTGATGCCTCTTTGTGGTATACAGGTGACCCTAGGCATTTGAAAGCTTTGTGAGCAAACTCTTAAATAACTTACTTAGAGAGAGATTATTTGAATGCAAAACCAGTAATGAATGGATTATGTGTCTGCCCTTATGTTTCAGCCTCATTTTCGACTAAGGGGATCACTGCTAGAACTTCCAAACAGAAAATGAATTGTTTGAGTCAGAGAAGCTTTTAAAAACCATTTACTATAGTTAGGTGTGAAGAGATTGTTAATTATATGTAGAGGAAAAACTCCCAATAATGAAATTCTGAATCTGTATAAAGTTTTGAGTAAAATATAGAGAGTAACTAAATCTGGGAATTCATTGTTATACGAAACTTCCAGGTCAGGAAAGTCCCTCTACCACTGTAGTTGTGCACTTTATGTATAATTTCAAGTTTTAAGTAATTCCTGGAAGGCTGAGAAGATTGTAACTTTTCCAGGGTTTCATAGGGAATATATGACTGTGCTGGGAATTGAACCCAGGTATTCCATGACTTCAATGTGGATTCTCTATCCACTATGCAACATTATCACTTTTCCCTTTAAGAGAATGTCAATTCCTAATTTTGTGTTATTATATAATCTTTTCATCACTTCAAATAAAAAAATGACCCAGGAATCATTTCTGCCTTAGAAAGCTTGCTTTACAATTGGGGCTTACTTTATTAATATAAGAGTAACATTCATTCCATTCATTTCAATTTCTCTCATCTTCTGTTCTCTGGCCCTTTCTTACCACACAGCCTGGAAAGACTGTGATTTCCTGCTTCTATTTTTAGTCAACAATCTATGTACTCAAAGATATAAACAGCATGACAATTTCCTATCTTTACAGGTGCCAACCATGTAGCAATAGGACTTGCATACTTCTGCACATGAACCACCCATCATCGTGCAATCATATGTATCCTTAGGAGTAGCTATGGAAAGAAGAAAACAAATATTTCAGAATCTTTATAACCACATAGAAGTTATGTTGTATCCTGAATAAGTATTCAAGAAGTTTTGCCTAAACATTATATTCATTCATTTGGTTTTTAAAAATTAAGGTGGCGTAGCCATTCCAGATTTTAAATTGTACCGTAATGCAGCAATCATCAAGACTACTTGGTACTGGCTAAGAAATAGAGTGGTAGATCAGTGGAATAGGTTAGGTATGCAAGAAACAGTAGTCAATGACTATAGTAATGTATTATTTATAAGCTCAAAGACCCCAGATTCTTGGAGAAGAACTTGCTATTTGACAAAAACTGCTGGAAAAACTGGAAAAGAGTATGACAGAAACTAGGCATAGACCAAAAATCTCACACCATATACCAAAATAATGTCAAAATGGGTTCATGATTTAGATATAAAGGCTGATACTATAAACAAACTGGGAGAGCAAGGAATAGTTTATTTGTCAGATTTATGGAGAACAGAAGACTTCATGACCAAACAGGAGATAGAGAACATTAAGAAAAGCAAAATAGATAATTTTGATTACATTAAATTGAAAAGTTTTTGCACAAACAAAGCCAATGCAACCAAGATTAGGAGGGAAATAGAAAACTGGGAAAGAATTTTTACAAATAGTATCGCTGATAAGGGCCTCATTTCTAAAATATATAGAGAATTAAGTTAAATTTATAAGAATACAAATCATTCCCCAATTGATAAATGGTCGAAGGATATAAACAGGTAGTTTTCAGATGAAGAAATTAAAGTCATCTGTAGTCATATGAAAAAATGTTCTAAATCACTATTGATAAGAGAAATGTAAATCAAAACAACTCAGAGTTACCACATCACACCTATCAGATTGGTCAACATGACAAAACAGGAAAATGATAAATGTTTGAGATGTGGGAAAATTGGAACATTAATGCATTGTTGGTGGAGTTGTGAAATGATCCAACCATTTTGGAGAGCAATTTGGAACTATGCCCAAAGGGCTATAAAAATGTACATACCCTTTGACCCAGTAATACCACTTCTAGGACTGTATCCCAAAGAGATCACACAAAAGGGAAAAGGACCCACATGTACAAAAATATTTATAGTGCTCTTTTTTGTGGTGGCAAAGAATTGGAAATTGAGAGGATGCCCATTAATTGGGGAATGACTGAACAAGTTGTGGTATATGAATGTAATGGAATACTATTGTGCTATAATAAATCATGAACAGGCTGACTTCAGAAAAACCTGGAAAGACTTGTATGGTCTGATGCTGAGTGAAGTGAGCAGAACCAGGAGAACATTTTATACAGTAGCAGCCGTGTTGTATGAGGACTAATGCTGATAGACTTAGCCCTTTTCAGTAATGCAAGGATCTAAGACATCTCTAAAGGTCTCATGATGGAAAATGCTATCCACATCCAAAGAAAGAACTATGAAGTTTGAATGCAGATCAAGGCTTTCGATATGGTATTTTTTTTTCTTCTGTTTCATTTTGTTTCCTGTGGTTCCTCCTACTGGTTCTAATTCTTCCTTACAACATCACCAATGTGAAAATATGTTTAATAGGAATGTATATGTATAGACTATATCAGATTTCTTGGAGTGGGAGGGGGGTAAAGAGGGGGAGAAAAATTTAAAACAAAAAAGCTTATGGAAGTGATTGTTAATAAATCAAAATAAATAAATTAATAAAGAAAAAAATTAATCTTTTAGTAAATGTTAGTATGATGAAATGGGAAAAACCCGTGATTTTCAAATTCAAGAACTGGTTTCCAGTCCTACTGTTCTGACTTATTAACTTGGTAAACTTGTTGGAATTATCTCACCTCTTTAAGCCTTTGTTTAAGTATTTATAAAATGGGAATCATCATACTTGCCCTAAACTAAATCACAAGATTGTTGTAAGAATCAAATTGGGGTAGGGAATGGACCTGTTATATCATTAGTATAGTTACAAATCTTACTACATATCTTTCCAACTCAGTAAAATCCTGTGGCTCATTTTACTTCTAAGATCAAATACACACTTTTTTCTTTAATACATAAATCTCCAGTCATCTCTGGCACTTTGCACTGACTATACCCCATTTCTGTCATGAACACTTTGACCTCCTAGAAGCATGAATTTACTTCAAAACTCAACTCATTTGCTGTCTTCTAAATGTACCCAATCCTAAGCCTTTCAGCCAGCAATTTATTTCCAAAACCTTATTATCATAGACTTATTTTTTATTTCATACATGTTTATATTTATCTATGTTGCCATCCTCAGTAGAATGTAAGCTTCTTCAGGAAAAAAAAAACTGTTTCATAGTTGTTTTTGTATTCCCAGCATGAAGGAAGTACTTAATAAATACTTTGTGCTTTATTGATATAAAAAGTACTGTGCTTGGCACTAGGGACGCATGTTTGAAAAAGAACCATTCCTTCTAGTTAATGCAATACAATCTGGTAAGATACATAGACAAGTGATATAATATCAAATATAACTATTTTATGCTTAAAATAAATAAAATGCTTAGGAATTCAGAGTACGGGAAACATAATTTCTGACTTGACTGGAAAGGATCAAGGAAATACAACTTCTTGGAGAAGGTGGTATTTCAGTTGGGCCTTGAGAGATGAGCATCTTTTTTATAGGTGGACATTAGAGAACATTCTAGCCTTAAGACTCAAAGTGAGCAAAAGCTCATGCCCAGCAAAGAATGAGGTGTACTCAGAAGTTCAGTTTGGGAATGGAAGAGGTACATGAAAAAGTGGTCTACTGAGTGATAAAGTAGAAAAAAATGAACTTCAGTCAGTGAACTCTTAAAGAACAGATAGGATAAAATCAACAGAGGAAAGGCACTAGAATTAAAATAGTTTGGGAAAGACCTCTTGTAGCTCATTCATGAAGCAATCCAGAGAAGACAAGAGGTAGAGGTGAGGAAGGAGATTATTCCAGACATAGAAAATAGCTGATGAAAATATCCAGAACACCATGACATGGAATGTCTTATTACAAGAATAATGAAAGGTCATTGTCAGTGGATTGAAAAATGTGTGGGGAAACAGGGTATGAGAAGACTGAAAGGTGTGCTTTAAGAAAATTACTTTGGCACCTGAATGAGGATTGACTTGAGTAGAGAGAGACTTATGGCAGCTGCTACACCAAACAGCAAGGTTAATACAATAGTCCAAGTATGAGGAGATCAGGAATGGTAATTGTGAGGTAACAGTATCAGAAGAGAGAAAGAGTATTTAAGAGAGGTTGCAAAGATGATATCAACAGAGATACTGAGGAGTTGAGGATTGCATCTGTTTGTGAGCCTGGGAGACTGGGATGATGATTGTACTTGGAACAAGTACTGGTATTACAAGGGTACCAAGATGGTACATTTGACAGTAATAAGGAAATTTGGAAGAGAGAGGTCTTAGAGCAATAGATGATGAGTTTAGTTAGGGATATTTTTAGAATGAGACACATAATGGACATTCAGTTCAAGATTCCATTAACAGGCATTTAGGGAAGTAAAACTGGAGGTCAGTGAAGAAGTTAGAACTAGATATGTAAATTTGAGGATTTTCAGCGTAGGAATGATAACTGGATCCACAGGAGTTGATGAGATGACCAAATTAAATAGAAATCAGTATAAACAGTAAGGGTGGGCCAGTGGAATACTATCCCCTTCCCTTCCTTGTTGATTCTGAAGGTTGGCTCAGGAAAGCAGGTGGCACACTTAGCTCCAACACTTGGTACTTTCAGAGCAAATAGCAAGGAGCAAACATCTTCCCAGAAATCCCAGACTTCAGAGATGTTTAGGATGACTGAAATTGTGCTCAGAGTGGGGATTAGTGTGTACCATGCCAGTCATAACTGAGTGGCAAACACCCTCCACCCAGAAACTCAGATGAACCTGTGTGAGGGTGTTTGACCAGTAATCATATTTCACATTTTGCTTCCTCAATTCTTTCAACAGAACAGAAAGTTTTCTTACTCACCTTTGGAAGAACCAAGCGAACATTTAATACCAGGGTAGGAGAATGTCAGAAAAAGCAACAAAAATAGAAGGTGTAGAGTCATCATGGTGCGTAGTTGGCTTGAACCTGGAAAATACAGGAAACCTGTGGGATGGAAAGATCAACTGAAGATAGGACTGGAGAGGACAAATAAGGCTAGACTAGGCCATGTTACACTCAACTTACCTAAGTTCAGTTAATATTAGCTTCTAAATACATGGATTTGAATCAGAGTACATTCTCAAGAGCATAGAGTACTCATATTTATAGGGCTGGGATATTGCTCAACAGGGTATTAAAATTTATATGCAAGTGTTGCAATCCACAGTGAAATTCTAAACAGACCCATGTTAGTCACCTTGAGGAAGATCCAAGTCATGTGGGTTCTTTTCTCTGTTTTTAGCTATAAATGGAATGGGAAGGAGAGGTCCAAATTTAATGTTTGGGCTACAGCTACTTCTATCACAAGCCCTCTTTTCTGTACAGATGGCTCTGGAACAGCATTGCACCATCTGGAGGTGATGAATAATTTCTCAACAGGTTTCCTAGAGAATCCATTGAGAATCTCACCCATCTACAAAACTGGTGGTCAAATATTATGGAAATCTGATCAAGAAGAAAATAGTAGTTTGATTCTTAGCCAGTTTAGGGAACTATGTGCTGAATAGTAACACCCCTTACATGGAATTAATATAGACCTTGTTTCCCAATATCTAGCTTCCACTTTTTCAAGTTTACCCGTTCAATAAGCAGCATTCTGTGGCAATTTAGGAGAGGGAAGTAACACCTAATACTGCAGAGGAAGGGGAAGGCAAATAGAGAGAAAAAAGGGGGAAAGGGTTCTAGATGAATATTGGGCATGCAAGTGCCAGTATTTGTTAATAGAATGAGAAAATATTCCCTTTTCAAAAGCAGCAAAGCATAGGAGGTAAAGAAATACTTTTAGTATTGTTGAAGAAATTTATTTGATGAAACACATCAGTGTTAAGGAATATCAGTAAGAAAAAGTTGCAGGTTTCTCTTATCAAAGAACAAGGAAAGTATTTCCAGCAGTGGATGAAACCATCAGCTTTACCATGTCCTTCTATTATAGTTTGTTGTTTAATTTCTTCTTGAGAAAAAGTTGGTTTTCTCTTATTTTCAGTACATATAAGAAGTTAATGATCTCTGGGTAGAGTTACATTTAATGTAGCTTCTTAGTTGGATGGTCTTAGATTTTCATTTTCTCCTAAATAAACCAGATCTGCATCCTCTTTATTATGAGGTCCTAATTCCCTTCTGTTAGCCACATGTGAACCTATTCTGTGGCCTAGCAACTGTGTTAAGTTGTAATTTTTAGCTAGAAAATCACTCTTTTAGACCAAAGGTCCTTCCAAAAACCACCATAATTTTAGAAATTCCTTTCCCTGTGCTTCCTCTCTTGCTAACCTTTCTGTTTTATTTGGTTACCAGACTATTTCCAAAGTAGATGAATGCCAAGGGAAGCAGAGCATTATCTGAAGCCATGGCTTCTGATCTCTGCTTCAAACTATGTGTGTGGTATTTGGCATATCTCCTCTCTTCTCTGATCTGTATATTTCCTGTGCTACAAAATGGAAATATAGGGCTTAATGATATCATTCATTCAGGGCTGTAATAATCATGGTTTAATTACCAGCACATCCAGAAAAAAAAAAACATATGAGATAGCTGGTGGGGTGGAGACAAGATGGCAGAGTAAAAGCAGTGACTTGCTTGAGTTCTCCCTCAAACCTCTCCAAATACTTTTAAAATTGCTCAAAATAAATTCTAGTCCATCAGAACCCACAAAAAGACAGAGTGAAACAAATTTCTAGCCCAAGACAACCTGGATGATTGATGGGAAAGGTGTATTGTACCTGACTGGGAGAGGAACACAGATCAGCATGCACCATGTAGGCAAAGACAGGGCCTCAGCGAACCTGGAGCAGTCCTCAGGGGATTTAATCAAAGGGAGCTGTGGTGGTTTCCAGACTTCTCAACTCACAAACACCAAAGACAATTTAGAAGGTCATTAGGAAAGGTCTGTCTAACCATGGTGAGCCCCAGTCTATGCACAGCCCTGGGGCAGCAGCTTTTTCCAGAGCTATCAGCCCACAGACTGAGAAAGAATCAAGTGGCTGATCAGAGGAGGATTGCAGGGATCTCTTTGCTGGCACTGAGGCAGGATTCTCTTGCTTTGCTCATGCTTGGATCAGAGTCACAGTTCTGGGTGGTGATCCTGCTGGTGTGCTGGAGCTTGTGGTGGCAGTGGGGAGGGAATCTTCCTCATAGTTCCAATGCAGAAAAGAGTGCTTGTAGTCATTCATAGACCAGAGCACAGGCCAGGAAAGGAGTAAACACCTCACACTTGATCACTTGGAAGAACTGAAAATTTACAGGTCCCTAGAAATATCTCTGAAAACAGCTGCACAAAACGCCTGAAGCTTGGGACAGTACATTCTCCACACTGGAAGCAGACCCCTACCTTAACAAAGAGTTTAAATCTCAAGTAATTGGTGGGGTCATGAGCAAACAGTGCAAAAAAAAAAAGTCAGACCATAGAATCTTTCTTTGGTGACAAAGAAGATCAAAACATACAACCAGAAGAAGACAACAAAGCCAAAGCTCCTACATCCAAAGCCTCCAAGAAAAAAAAATGAATCAGTTCTAGGCCATGTAAGAGCTCAAAAAGGATTTTGAGAAGCAAGTAAGAGAAGTAGAGGAAAAACTGGGAAGAGAAATGAGAGTGATGCAATAAAATCATGAAAAACTAGTCAACAGTTTGTTGAAGAAGACCTAAAAAAAATACTGAGAAAATAACACCTTAAAAAATATCCTAACTCAAATGGCAAAAAAGCCAATAAGGAGAAGAACACCTTAAAAAGCAGATTTGGCCAAAAGAAAAAGGAAGTCCAAAAGCTCACTGAAGAAAATTCTTCCTTTAAAATTAGAATGAAGCAAATGGAAGCTAATGACTTCATGAGAAATCAAGAAATTGTAAAACAAAACCAAAAGAATGAAAAAATAGAAGACAATGTGAAACATCTCATTGGAAAAACAACTGACCTGGAAAATAGATCCAGGAGAGATAATTTAAAAAATATTGGACTATCTGAAAGCCATGATCAAGAAAAGAGCCTAGACATCATCTTTCAAGAAATTATAAAGGAAAACTGCCCTGATATTCTAGAACCAGAGGGCAAAATAGAAATTGAAAGAATCCATCCATCACCTCCTGAAAGACATCCCCAAAGGAAAACTCCCAGGAATATTATAGGCAAATTCCAAAGTTTCTAGGTCAAAGAGAAAATATTGCAAGCATCCAGAAAGAAACAATTCAAGTATTGTGGAAACACAATCAGGATAACACAAGATTTGGCAGCTTCTACATTAAGGGACCAGAGGGCTTGGGATGTAATATTCCAGAGGTCAAAGGAATTAGGATTGCAACCAAGAATCACCTACCCAGCAAAACTGAATATAACCTTTCAGAGGAAAATTGGATATTCAGTGTCATTCAGAGGACTTTCAAGCTTTCTTGATGAAAACAGAGCTGAACAGAAAATTCAACTTTCAAATACAATACTCAAGAGAAAAGGTAAACAGGAAAGAGAAATCATAAGAGATTTATTAAAGTTGAACTGTTTACATTCCTACATGGAAAGATGATATTTGTAACTTATGAGACTTTGTCAGTATTAAGGTAATTGGAGGGAAAATTGCATGTGTATGTGTATATATATACATATGTATATATGTATATATATATGTGTACACACACACATATATATATATGTAGATAGATAGATAGATAGATAGATAGATAGATAGATAGATAGATAGATAGATAGATAGATAGAT